CAGGAGCACCTGTACTTCACCGCCTGGAATAATATCAGGAGTGACTCTGCTTTAGTTCCTTAGGGTGAAGCAGCCCACATCCAGCCCCAGCAGAAGCAGAGCACCTGGAGGGGCAGCCTAACAACTTGCTGAACACTGAATGCAGCCCTAACAAGGAGGGTTTCCATGAGGAAGCAGAGGATTTTGCTGCAGAGCCCCAGGTTTGGCCCCATTGATATTACGGGGCTGAGCCCAGCCCTCCAGCAGCTTTTGAGATGCCAGAACTGGTTCTGTGTGAGGGCAGCTCACCACAAAGCTAGCTCAGACCAACACACGTCCCACGCAAGGGTGTGCTAGGGGAGTAGGGCCAGGGCTGCCAAAGGCCAGGATGCCATGCCCCAGCTGGGATGTCATAGCCAAAGCACTGGATGGAGTCTCTCCACCACGGCAGTGCACAGCACCGCTCCGTGCTATGTCTGTAACCTCACACAAAGAAGCGCTTGCTTTCCCCCCCATCCCCTTCGAGGACATGAAGGTCCATTTTCTCTCCTGCTGCAGTCTTGGTGGGGATGTGGATGGTGATGCCAGTTTGACTGATTCTTCATTTCAATAAAGGCTCTCACACCCACTGCCCTCGTGTGGTTTGTTCATCCCCCCTTCGGACCAGGAAGAGGATGCCGAGCCATCCTCATCCCTCCCTAGACCCCCATGCACACTGCCATGGCGTCAGCCCCCTCAGGGTGGTCCCTGCCCCTCCCAGTCTGCTCCCACCCAGGTCCTCCTCAGTGATGGGAGGCCTGCGCGCGCCTGGCAGAAAATTCAGTATCAGGTCCAATGGGGACAGGCTGCCAGGCCCCAGTGTGGCTGTCACAGGGGTACCACAAGGACAGGGGAGCCCCAAGGCTGAACCATGACTATCTGGCTCTGCAGAGCTAGCAAAAGCCTTCCAGGGCCAGCAGCTCCCTGCTCCCCTCCAGTCCCAACACTGACCCACCGAAGGAACACTCACAGCAAACCAAATGTCCTCTTTAATCTGTCCAAGCTCTGAGATGCCAAACAGAAATGAACATAACCTAGTCTGGAGCCACATCCCACTGAACCCAGCACACCCTGGGAGAAGTGAGTGCCCCCTACTTCTTCCCCCACGGCCTTCATGGGCCTCCTACCAGCCCCACAGGCCACCAGCTGACCCACCGAAGGAACACTCACAGCAAACCAAATGTCCTCTTTAATCTGTCCAAGCTCTGAGATGCCAAACAGAAATGAACATAACCTAGTCTGGAGCCACATCCCACTGAACCCAGCACACCCTGGGAGAAGTGAGTGCCCCCTACTTCTTCCCCCACGGCCTTCATGGGCCTCCTACCAGCCCCACAGGCCACCAGCACTGCAGATACACAGTCCACTCCA